GACCCTGTGTACATAATTTCGCTCCACCACATGTACCACATGAGGTGCGAATGACAATAAAGAATCTCTGACTCTGATATTTGATTAATTAGGTTTAAATTAGCAGAAATGTGCATAAAAAATAGCAAACTAGCTAATAAAAAAAAGCTGAAATTAGCGAGAAAGCTGAAAAATAACTGAAAAGGCAGAAAGAAGCTTCAACTACCAGAAGGAAATGAAAAGAGACGAAATGAGCTAAAACAAAATGTGGAATTTGCTGAAAAAGCTCAAATTAGCATAAACAGCTGAAAAGTAGTTGAAAGCAGACTGGGTGGACATGGATATGATGTTTGTAAAGGACATAATGAGTTATGTTATCGAGCCGTTTACATTCTAAGTAGCAGTCAGTATGGGTTTAGAGCAAAAAACTCTACATCAATGGCTCTCATGGAATTAATAGAACAAATAACTACTGCTGTCGATCAAAAACAGTATTGTGTTAGTATTTTTGTTGATTTAAAAAAAGCATTTGATACTATTGACCACACTATTCTCCTGAAAAATTAAATAAATATGGTATAAGAGGACCAGCATTACACTGGATATCTAGCTATTTGAAAGATAGGAAACAGTTTGTACAAATAAATGGTGTAAGATCTGACCTCTGCAATATCACGTGTGGAGTTCCTCAAGGCTCTGTACTTGGAGCGAAGTTATTTATTTTATATGTGAATGACTTAGTGAATGTATCAGGACTCCTCAAATGTGTCCTTTTTGCAGATGACACCACATTTTTTTGTTTGGGTAAAGATGTAAAACGGATGTTGGAATTGATGAAGACAGAATTTGATAAAATACAAACTTGGTTTAAACTTAATAAATTATCATTAAATTTAGATAAAACTAAATACATGATATTTAGTAACAAAAAGAAAACTGTTGACGATCCATTTAAAATTGAGGGTGTTGAGATTTGTAGAGTTAATGAGATGAAATTTTTGGGTGTAATCATTGATGAACAGCTAACATGGAAAAATCACATAAATTCTGTAAAAACAAAAATAGCTAAATCTATTGCAGTACTATACAAAGTCAGGGAATTATTAAATGATAAAGCTCAGTACATGTTGTATAACACAATCATTGTTCCACATTTAATCTATTGCATTGATGTTTGGGGGAAAGCGTGTAAAACATTTACAAAACCTATTTTTATTTTACAGAAAAGAGCTGTAAGAATTATCACCAGAAAGCATTACTGTCACCCATCAAGCACATTATTTTATCAACTGAAGTTATTGAAGTTCCATGATTTGGTAGATTTCAGTATTTTATCAGTTATCTATAGGGCTCAAAATAACACATTACCATTAAATATCCAAAGAAATTTTGTTAAAAGACAAAGTTGTTATAATCTTAAGGGGATAGAGATATTTGTCAAACCAAAATTCAGAACTAGTCTGAAGGGAAGGTCTACCTCAATCCAAGGAGTTGGATTGAGGAATGGTCTAGAGAGTGATGTGAAAAATGCCAAGTCAATGTGTACATTTAAGAAAAAGATCAAAACTGAATTGTTAAAAAAGTAT